AATTGAGCACCATTAAATGCTGCCTAAATTGGTGGGTTTAGTTCCATTAAGTTCTGAAAATTTCGATCATTTGAATATAATTTTAAATTCAAAATCCCTCATACGGATTTGTTGACGGATTTCATCGAAAAACAATCATGCATATCGTCGAGTAGATCCCTTTTGATCTGTTTTCATAAGAAAAAAATAATATAAAAATTGTAGAACAAATACAATGAAATCGCATGACTTTTGAATTTTAGTGTGAAAATTTCAAATCGAATACAAAAGAACCTTTTTTTTTATTTTTTTTATTTTTTACAAAATCGACCCTTCATTATCAAAATTGCAGATCGAACCCAAAAAAATCAATCTGGGTATCAAAGTCGAGTTAAAATGAGAAATTTTTTAACAAAAAATGCATTTTCAGTTTGAAAAGTGAAGATCGCACACAAAACTTTGCATTTTGGTGAAAATTGAAAACAATCTAAACAAAAATATAAATATATTAACTAATTATAGAATTTCAGTGTGCTAATTCAAAATCGGAAATGATACTTGAGCCTGTTTGGTAAATAGCTTATTTAATAAGCTTTTTGGGCCCAAAACTCTAATTTAAAAAAAGCTCATTAGAGCAGCGTTTGGGGATAGAGGATTCAAAAAAAAAACTTGATTTTTTTTTGTTTTTTTTTTTTCTAGAGTAATTTTAAGTTTCTCATTAGCGCCATTGCCCACAGTACAGAATTAACTCTGGAAGAAACATTTATTCATATCCTAACCAAGTGTTTTGTGCTTAACATCTTTAAGAGAAACGAAAAGCTAGAGTATGGACACCTCTAGAATCAATTATTTGTTCCGGAAAATATTCAAGAGCCTGGGACTAAGAAAAAGGTATCACTTGTTTCCTACTCCAAACCTTACATTTGTTGAAGCAGCAAAGAAGAAAGTATATAAGTATGAAAGAAGTGCCCGTAATGTTCTCAAATTCAATTGCAAGAGACCAGTACTGCACAAGCCTCAAAGGTATTTCGAAAATATAGAGCTGCACAAGAATTTGATTCATACTGAAAACCTACACATCAAAGTTTCTTCTCATGACACAACTAATGATATTTCCGATTTACTCCATCATTAAAATCATGAAACCATATAAATGCAGAAAACAGTTGAAGGAAAAACAAATAACGTGCCTGTCCTCTTTTGCAGTTGAAATACGTTTCTCTAAGCCCCACACTCTCGCTTGAAATTTTCGGGCTCGTCTCTTTGGCATATTCTCTGTACGGCCGGTTCTCAACGTATAACGATCCAGTTCGCCATGGATATTAGATACCGAAGAAAACGAAGAGCAAAAAAATATTCCAACAAAAGATGAGCTCAAAATTCCTGATCCAGCATTTATGATCATTGATAAAAATATAAATTTTATTCCTCCAGAAGTGTTAGCGGATGTTGGTCATATTCCCCCGCAAGAGGTCTCGAACACAAGTACTAAGGAGATATGACAAAAGTTCGAAATAATATTACTGCTAGTTTGATGGCAACTAGGACGTCGTCGTGCTGCTTGACCATTTGAATTATTTGTTTGAATAGACATGATTATGAAATTTTTGTACTTTCAAACGCTTGAAAACTTTGTAATTATGCTCGTAAAATCATTTACTTGGAACTTTTTAATTTGTATTATTTATTTTACAATCTACATTGGTTTATGGTGCTAATAAATAATAATATGTCATCCATATGATTAATTTATCTAGAAAAATGTAAAATTCATAACTTCTTCATCAAGTTTTAGTAACTTTAAAAAAAAAAATAATATATTTATAAATTACCAACTAAAGAATATTAAATGTTTTAATATATTATTATTAAAAGAATACACCCTAAATAATAAAATATCGTTATTGGTCATTTTGCAATGTCAAACAGCTATAAGCTTTCAGCTATTTACCAAACACTTATTTAAAAACCGCCAATGCAATCCGCTCGTCAAATCAGCTAATATAATCTGCTATCCGCTAATACAATCCGCTATCCGCTGATCACCAAACAAGGCCAATATAATTTATAGTAATACAACTAAAACAATTTGCCCAATGTATTTATATGTATTGTCAAATTTTGACGGTCCATTATTCTAGAAACTCAATATTATTCTAAAATTAGAAGCCCAAATTTTGAAAGGCCAATATGATTAATATAAAAAAATTATTTCCAATCTCGATTTGATTAATATAGATAATTAAACATATCTTAATTAAAATATCTATTGAGTTTAATTATAATATATATANACATTTTAAGAAAAAGTAAAAAATATTTTGTTATGTATTTATACCATTGGCACCCGATAAAATTCAAAAATATATTGTATAATGTTTATCTTTCCATAAGTATTACTTGATAATTTTTTTTATATAATTGTAGACAATATTAACACGTCTCCCTATATATAAGAATGTGTTCAGTAATATATATATATATATATATATTTTTTTTTTTATTTTCATTATATTTAGTAATGTATCGTTCTTTTCTTATATAATTTTAATTTAAATACAAAATTGTCTTTTAAAAAGGACGAAAATAATAAAACCCCGTGCATCACACGGGTACTGTACTAGTTAGCTCGAATAAGAAATGGATTGACTAACACAGTATGTCGAGCCTGGGCTGTTAGCAAGGGACATGTGTAAGGCCAATAAAAAAAAAGAGAGAGAGACAATCGGACGAATGAGAGTAGGACTAAATAACTGATGAGCTGACCTACGGGTAGCCTATAGCCGATGGACAGCCCTTTTGGGCAGTTGGATAGGCCTTCAGGCAGTCGGACCGGGTAGAGGCTTGTTCAACAAACTACTAATCTTCTATAAATAGGTAATGCAAAACAATAACAATTTGAGTTATTCCTACCAAAATCGTCGACGGAAAAAAACCTCTTCTTGGTACGATAGCAATTAGAAGTTGTTCATTATTGATTAGATGTACAAAGTGTTGGAGTAGAATACCCGGCGTTCCAATCAGATTGGATTTATTTCTACTTGTAAAAATAATTTATTGGAATTATATTATTAAGGCATTGTTTTATCTTATGTTTTTGTATTTATCCTATATTTGCACATATGATAAAGTCCTTAGATCATTAATGGCTATAAGGCATGGTTGCGCATTTGATGGTAATCATGGAACATATCTTTAAAGTTGTGATCTTAAATACAGTTTCAAGTCGTTGGATATTTGGAGATGAGATATCGAATAATCCGGAAAGACTTGTACATATGATGTATACTTGTTTGACAAGAATGTTGCATTCCATCAATATTAGCGTGGATCGCAAATACATATATGTGGGTGCTTGTTAGAGAACAAGTTCACTGAACATGACCGCATGAAAATTCTGAATGGAAGTCTATTATGTCGAATAAGAATTTTCATGTTACAATAGTACATGATTGATCCTTAGACTTGAGGCACGAATAGGAACTTTGTGCATATTATATTTTACATTGATTTATCCTTTTGATTGCTAGCACAGTCGTATAAAGGGATATTTTGGGTATTATATTAATATGAATGGAAGTTTGTCAGTGGCCAACAAAGGATTCGACTTTTATGAGATAAGTGAATTTCCTTTGTGTTTCATAGTTTGTAATTCAAAGTCCTTGGCCAAGGCGGGATGAATCGAGATTCATATATAAATTACTAAACTTGAAATGGTAATTAAATTAATTCGGGTTTAGACTAAATCATACCCAAAATTTAATCGGAAAATTGGATGTCGAAAGGATTTTACATGTATGGACTTGTAATCGAAAAAGGTTTACTCGCTATTCACTTAATACTAGATTCATGCTACTTGCTAGATGTTCCCATGATATGTGGGTTCTTGAATTAAGGAGTTAATTCAAAGAATAAGAATTAATTTGATTAATTCAAATTACAAGGAGTTGTAAATCCACTACTAGTATTAATAGTGAACCTAAAAGGTCACACCCAATTTTGAATGTAGATCATTTAAAATTAGTATTTCTAAAGAGTTAGAATTATTTGACAAGTATTAATTAAATAATTTGATTATTTAATTAATTATAATTTTGATTAGATATCAATTAAAGGAATATACTAAATTAATCAATTTGATTGATTAATTATATTTTGGATATTAATTAAGTAATTATTGAAATTACTAAATTAATAGTTGGATTTTAAAATTCAAATCCATATTATAATATAATTATAATAAGAGGAGATTTTATAAATATGAGAAATAATATATTTTGATAAAATAATTTTTCAGAAATTATAAATCATAATATTTAATCTTTAATTTGATTAAAGATTAAAATAATAATAAAATATTATTAGATGGGATCTAATGACATTTTTATTATTAAAATCATTTAGATCAAGATGCCATCTAATTTGATTAAAATAATGATTTTAAAATACAAACATGACATCTTGTGATCTAAATGTTTTAGTATAAATAGGTGTACATATGTGATGTACAAAAACATACTTGTATTAACAAGAAAATTGAGAGAGAAAAATCACAAGAGTTGTAAATCAAGAAGTGTTCTTGACCTTTGATAATTATTTCCATATCAAGAATAGTTCTTGAAAAATTTAAGAAGGATTAAAATTATAATCTCCTCTAAAATAAATATTTCGATACTAATTGAACAAATCGAGAAGTTTCTACTAGCGAAGAAACTAGTTCTCGAGATTGCATAACAAAAGGGTGGATACTTTTAGAGGGGAGACACTTGGATCCCTCGGGTGAATAACAAGAGACGGTGAAAGTCATATATAACCGGGAATTGATTTCCTCAATCATCGTCATATAAGAAGGAGTTCAAGATAAAAGATAATTTTCGAAATTACTTATTACAAATAAAAAAATTCGTATTTTTACGTGATTTTAAAAGATGTCGGTCATTTTATTCGCTATATTTACTTACGGATTAAATATTTATTTGATAAATGATAATTATATTGTATAATTTCCGCTACGATTTTAATCCGTACAGTATAGCGAACCCAACACAAAGTTTATGGGGTGATTGTTTTAAGACTCGATGAGCGCGTCCTAGGTTTCTCGATGGCGAAAGAGAAAGAGACAAAAGGTCAGATATAGAAAAATCGGGTTTTCCGGGACGAAATGTTGGAGGGTGTCTCTTATGAAGTTAGCTCGGTTGCGGGCTATAAGTAAGGAGTTCCTTTTTGAAATTTAACCCCGTAACAATACCTAAAAAAAATTATGGTCGATGTTACCTAATCTACAATAACATAGTATGGGAAAAGCAAACATTATTCTAACATATTTGGGAGGAAATTGGTTGAGAGGGATGTGTGGGTAACATAACTATGCAGATCGGGCACTACGGCAATTGGACAGCAAGATTAGTCAGATTTTTGAATAGCAAGGTAATCATTCTATATAAGGGGGTAATGCATGATCATTATCTTTCTACACAATCTGAATATTCTAGCCTCATATTCTGCATATATATCATCACTTCTAAATACTGACTTGAGCTTCGGAGCTTCTACGCTTGGACAACCTCCGACGTTATTTTGCCGGTCATTCCAACGGTTGAAAAGACGTCGGACCGAATCGAGCTTGTTTACGCAGCCCATCATAGACCCTAGGCATATAATTGAGTATTATTTATTTGTTTTTATTTTTGAACTTTTTTGTTCTTCGATCGGAGCAAGCACATTTATTTACTTACGGTACTGAGAACATGGCACTTTTCTCCTTCCGTACATCCAGTGGACCATATAGCAAACATTTAAGACGTTCCGAATATTGAATGACGGCACCACAATGCCACATGATAATGCAAAAGTGATACGCAATTAGATATTTTGGGTGTTTTGGGAGTGAGTGAGTGAGTTGTCTTGTCCCACAAACTTAAAGTGCGGATGTGGTCAGACCAATGAACGCAACCTTAATTTCATGATAAGACGCATGCTCCAACTTGCACACTCCACCCCAAAAACTTATTTCTCAATCGGCCACCCAAACGTGGTATCTATCTCGGTTTTATGCACCAAATTAAATTTCATATCCGGTCCGACTCTTTCTTAAAAAGCTACCCTGTATTGATAGACATCAAACTTAAGAGAATACATATTGTTAAACATCTGGAGTCAGATTTTGATGCAGGTCATAAATTGTAACATCAGCCTCATAATTCACCAAACAATTGGCCATTTAGAAATTCTTATGATGCATACATTAGGAACGGTTTTATTGAGAATTGTTACTACTACCAAATTCTGTCCTGTCCTAAGATTATTATTCATTCCCACGTTTAAAATGTTGCCAAAATATCTAAATTCATATCTTTGTTGCCGAACTTTTCACGTATTCCTCTGTTGAATGACACACTTTTCATGATTCATCCAATCCATCTTGTCTCTACATAACCTTTGAGCCACATACTATTACTAAACTGATGTTTTATCTGAAAATGTGTTTTAAACCACGGCCTGTGATTCTTTATCTCTAAAACTAGCAAAGGTACCTTTAAAAAGGCATCTATCTTATTTTACATTTATTACTCATGTACTTTACTCTGTTTCTAAAGCCTAGTATAGCATGAATTTGTTAATCCTATTGGTCTCACTTCCCCTCCTCCTCACAAACTGTCTTTCAAGTGAAAAACTCTCAAGACCAGATGTGATCAACATTGGCGCCATCTTCACCTTCGGCACAATCAACGGCCAAGTCGCCAAGATCGCCATGAACGCCGCAGTCGATGACATAAACTCCAATCCGTCCATTCTCGGCGGCACAAAGCTCCTCCTCTCCACGCACGACTCCAACTACAGCGGCTTTCTCGGCATCATCGGCGGCCTCCAATACATGGAGGGCGACACAGTCGCCATAATGGGGCCCCAATCCTCCGGGATGGCCCACATCCTATCCCACCTGGCGAACGAGCTCCACGTCCCCATGCTCTCCTTCACGGCCCTCGACCCAAGCCTCTCCTCCCTCCAATACCCTTACTTCATCCAAACGGCCCCTAACGACCTCTTCCAGATGTCGGCAATAGCCGACACCGTCGCTTACTACGGATACCGAGAGGTCGTCGCTATCTACCCAGACGACGAGCACAGTCGAGGCAGTATGATTGCCTTAGCTGAGAAGCTAGCTGATAGACGCTGCAGAATCACGTACAAGGCGCTTCTCTCGCCCGAGACACTGGCAACTGACGACGAGATCACTACCCAACTCGTCAAAGTCTCGATGATGGAGTCACGAGTGATCGTGGTCCACGCTTTTTCCGCGGTCGGTGTACGGATTTTCGAGCTCGCCTCTCGTCTAGGGATGGTCGACAGAGGGTACGTTTGGATAGCCACGGCGTGGCTATCCACCGTGCTCGACTCCACGCGCGTCTCCGCAAAACTGGCAGAGTCGATTCGAGGAGTCGTCGCGTTCCGTCCCCACACGCCCGATTCGGAGGCGAGGAGGGCGTTTTTGGAAAGGTGGAGGGACGAGTTGAGCGTTAACGGCTCCATAGGGCTCAACCCTTACGGCTTATACGCTTACGACACGGTTTGGACGGTCGCGAACGCGGTCAAAAAGTATATGGACGGCGGCGGGAAGTTTACTTTTTCGAATGACACTATTTTTAACGGGTTCGGGACGCGGGCCTTGAATTTGGGCTCGTTGAATAGGTTTGATGGGGGGAAAGAGTTGCGGAGGAAGATATTGGAGACGGAGTCCGTGGGGCTCACGGGGAGGATCGCGTTTGACGAGGATAAATCGGTTTTGCGTCCGGCTTTTGACGTGTTGAATGTGGTTGGGAGGAGTTACAGGCGGGTAGGGTATTGGTCGAACTATTCAGGGCTTTCGGTTCTGCCTCCCGAGATTCTTTACGCGAGGGCTCCTAACCGGTCGAAGTCTAACCAACGGCTGCATGACGTAATGTGGCCGGGGTTAACCACGGTTAAGCCGCGCGGGTGGGATTTTCCGCGCAATGGGAGGAGGTTGAGAGTTGGGGTTCCAGATAGGGTGAGTTACAAGGCTTTCGTGTCGAAGGATGATCGGACGGATGAGATTCGAGGGTATTGTATAGATGTGTTTGTTGCTGCAAAAGACTTGTTGCCATACCCGGTCATGTTCGACTTCTTCTTGTTCGGGGATAAACGCAAGAATCCGAGCTATGCTGAGCTAACCGATATGGTGGCATCCGATGTGAGTTTATTAATTTGAGTACTATTTTGCATGATTTGATTGGAATTGAGAAAAAAGAAAAAATTAAAGATTGTTTAATTGTGATATAAGTAGCTACTATGCATGAGTGAATATGGTTTTTGCATGATTTTATCGTTTATGATTTTTATTATATGCACGAGTGAATAGGTATTATTTATGTCGTACATATCTATCTATCTAATTCTAAGGGGTTCAACTCTGAGATGAAAAAATAAAAATAAAAAATAAAAAATAAAAAAAATCTAAGGGGTTCAAAATCAATTTAGGCGTTTGATGCAGCTGTTGGTGACATTGCAATCGTGACCAACCGTACCAAGATTGTGGATTTCACGCAGCCATATATAGAGTCCGGGCTTGTTGTAGTGGCGCCTGTGAGGAAGTTGAACTCGAGCCCATGGGCTTTTTTGAGCCCGTTTACTCCCTCAATGTGGGCCGTTACTGGGGCATCTTTCTTTACTGTAGGGTTTGTAATTTGGATTCTGGAACACAAGGTCAACGATGAATTTCGGGGGCCACCAAAGAAACAATTCATCACAATTGTATGGTGAGTGGGTGGGAATCTTTGCTAAATTCTAATAATAATAGGTCACACATAGTCGTCATGCTACCGTCATGCAGACGCAATAATTTTGTGCCCACAAAAAGTTTTCTTGAATTATTTTTCTCCTCTGCTTTGCAGGTTTGGCTTCTCAACTATGTTCTTTGCTCACAGTAAGTATTTTACAGGAATATCCACATCTATATATATAATTGTTAGCATAAGATTTAATTTTACCTAATAAATTTTATCTCATAAATTTTATCTATTAAATAATACATACATGATAAACTTTCCATACTCCAAAATTGTTACAGTCCATTGATTATTATTATTATTATTATTATTATTATTATTATTATTATTATTATTATTATTATCATCAGTATTGTTGTTGCTGTTAAATTGTAAACACAAAAAATTATACTGTAAAACTTTTGTTCAAGTTATTTATTCTAAAATCAATAGTATATTTTTTAATCTAATTAAACATTTTTTTAAATAAATTAATTTTTTAATGTGATAGTAAATCTCTTAGGGGGTGATTGTTTATGAATTCATCTAGAAATTAATTGGTTTTTTTTTAACTATAGTTAAATTTGAAAAAAGTTGGTATGGTTAGTTGTTAGTGGATATATTAAAATAATATTTAAAATAAAATAATTAAAGTTGATATGATGTAAAAATAAGAGAAAAATGATTGGAAATTGTGGTTGGTTAAAATTATGTGAGTGGATGAATAGTGACTTAAAGTTGATGTGATGTGTAAAAATGATTGGGTGAATGATTGGTTGATGTTATTTAATTATATTGATAATATGAGAGATAGTGGAGTTGGGTTAAAGTTTAGTTAAATTTGAGTTTTGATTGGTTTTTTTTGGAATGAATTGATAAACAATCACCCCCTTAAAATCGATAAGCAATTGTTATAATAAATTTAAGATTTTTCAGCAAATTACTTGGTCATGATCTCTCAAAATTTTAAAGATTACATTATTTATTACATTTTATGCAATCAATATAGTGATTCATATGCAATCAAATAGTTAGTACTATTTATTTTAACCAATTATCAAATTTTAAAACATAATATCATTATCTAACTTATAATATTAACATTATATGCATAAATATAACTTATAAAACTCTACGTTCAAAATTTAATATCATTATCGAACTTATAATTTTAATATTATATTCATATAAATAACTTATAATACTTTATTTATATCTGTTCAAATTAGTTAACACAAAGAAAACTTGACAAACTATTTTTATTTATTGCTGAAATTGGCCACTAAAAAAATGAAAAACATAAACAAATAAATAAAAAAAAAAAAAAAAAATTGTAGGAGAAAACACGATGAGCACGCTTGGGCGCATGGTCCTCATAATCTGGATGTTCGTGGTGCTGATAATCACATCAAGCTACACCGCCAGCCTGACCTCCATCCTCACTGTCCAACAGTTGGCTCCCTCCATAACTGGCATCGAGTCCCTCATCGCGGGTCGGGCCCGGGTCGGGTTCCAAATCGGGTCCTATGCTCAGAACTACATGACCGAGGAGCTCAACATTGACCCCTCCCGCCTCGTCCCGCTCGGCTCCCCGGAGGAGTGCGCCACCGCCCTCAGGAGCGGCCGTGTGGCTGCGGTGGTCGACGAGCGGCCCTACGTCGACCTTTTCCTCTCCAACAACTGCATGTTTCAGGTCGTCGGCCGCCAGTTCACGCGCTCTGGCTGGGGTTTCGTGAGTTCTGTTTATTCTTCTGGTACGATTTTTTATTTTTAATCTGTATATATATATATATATTTTAAAATTTTGGTTTGGTCCCATGTAACTGCGTGCAGGCATTTCCTCGAGACTCTCCCCTAGCAATGGACATGTCGACTGCCATCCTTACGCTCTCGGAAAACGGTGACCTTCAAAAATTGCACGACAAGTGGCTCAACAACGGCGTTTGCCAGGTGGCCAACTCGGCTAACTTAGATCAGCTCCAGCTGAAGAGCTTCTGGGGGCTGTTTCTCCTGTGCGGGGCCGCGTCCGTGGCGGCCTTAGCCGTCTACTTTGGGTCGACTCTGTACAAGTTCAAGCGCTCGTATTTGCCTCAACAGCAACAATCTTCTTTGCAAAGCAGCTCAAAGTCGGTGAGAATTAACAAGTTTCTGTCTTTTGTGGATCGAAAGGAGGAGGAGCTAGGGGAGGCAGGAAGCAAGAGGAAGAGAAGGCATTCGGAGATGGTTTCTAGGGAACGATGCGTGTCCAACGGGATTACAAGGACTGAGTTCGATGGTTAATTAATGTTGGTATCTAGATTTTATAGATTATATTGGGGTTGAGTAGTAAAAATAGTTAGTGTGTTTGAAGTTGATTGGTATACTTCTTATGCAAAGGAGTTTTAAAGTGTTATTTTATATACATATATATAGATGCACTCAAATGAGAATGGATCACAATGAGAGAAATAAGAATTAATACGGACCGATCGATCCAATATTTGAACGAACCAGATGCGCTCACGCATTTTAAATACATGTTCACTTACCGGTGGCATTCTCGTAATAAGGCTTAAATGATGTGGTTAATAGTGCAACTGTGAGGGTACTCCCGTCTTTCCACAAAAAGCAATGGGCAATTGATGTCTTCGAGCACATTCATTGAGGCAGTAAATACGGCTCGTCTTCCTGGGCTCCAGAGATAACGTATGGAGATGGTGGATTTATGGTAAGAAAATTTCTTCAAAAAGAAAATAAAAATCTAGCATTCTTGTAGAGGATGAAGAGCATCTCGTAATATCTATGTATTTCTCGCAGATCTATTGTTGATATGTTGAAGAGAGTTTAGATCTGAAGTCGTTCATTGTACTTTGTTAATCGAACGTTTTTTAACAATGGGTAACTCTCCCAAATTGGAGAAATCAGGTAATATTTTGTGCTCATTGTGTTTATGTTGTGTCGTATATTTACGTTTTCGTTGTGTTTATGTTGTGTCGTATTTTTACATTTAGGGCTATAATGCTTTTTTCGGCCCTTCTTTTGTATGAACTTCAGAAATCATACGAAGCATGTATTTTCTACTGTCTTATTGTGATTTAAACTACAATATGACGTTTATGTATAGCATTTTTAGTTTCTGGCTTTGTGGGGTTTATCTCGAATTCCTGGTTTTTTGGTGGCATTTTCTTGTTTTATATATGTCTGTAATTATGAAATATATTTTGCATGTTTGCATTGATATTGTTGTTCTATCTTTTATCCAAAAGATTATGCATAAATTACTGACAATTTCACACAACTGTGAGTACATCAGATGTATTTTCACACTATTGATAGAGTAGTTGTCTAGTTGTCTTCAATCTATTGTTAGATTGCCATAAACTGAAATGACCCGATTTATAATAAATTATTTTTTATATTGTGTATATTAAACTTCATTTGTAAACACCAACTTGTTTTTAATTGTCAAGAATCTAACCTGATATTTTTGTATGATTTGATTTCCTCAATGCAGGTAAACGTGCTGCGGATGCCAGCAGTTCGGATATACCGCTTGTTGCTTGGAAAGGTATGTGTCGTTATGTTATGTCGGTATGACAATACTTTCTATGATATTCAGTTTGTATGTAACGGTGTTCGTGCTTCTAATGACTGATGCTATTTGCTAGCAACACGGCGTCGTACGAGCTCCCCTTTAACGCAACAGATTAATACACACGTTGGCGCTGATGGTGTTCGAGAAGGTTAGCACTTGCACATTATATATTGTCGTGTGTGTCGGTTCATGAATTGTGTGTAACCATTGATATCATAATACAGTTATTGGATTTGTTAATGCGCGCGACGTATTCTATACATGGCTGTAGTAAACATTCATCACGCGTATTTTGTTATTCTATACCTGTTGAACTTTGACAGGAATGTTGTTGTATATTTGTTATTACGTTCCACGATTTGCTTTAACTTTTTCATCACTATTTGTGGGTGTTAACTAATTGCTTATTATTCAGACGCATCTCGTACGATGCCAGTGAATACGACAGAACCAGATTGTGTCCGTTCGAATCGTGCGAAAGCGTGTGCACATACATCAAGCCAGCCTGACAGTGACGACTTTGTGGATGATGGTCATCGTTTGCGTGTGGCTAAAAATACACATACATGTGACGGTATATACAACCATGCGCTGCTGTATTTCCAAACAATCATTTTCATGCTCAGAGATGTGTAAAAAAATTAAACAAATAATATTATATGATGATATAAAGTGCAGTAATTTAAGTTGCATTCTACGTTTATAGGCCTGTAATTATAACAACATTTAAGATGATTTTAGAATATTTCTGCGTATTGTGTGTGCTAATTGTGCAACATACCGGCCTGTTATACGAGTATATCTTATGAATTACTTTTTTCTTTTTCCTAACATTTTTTCTTTTTTCCAGTTAAGGGCAAGAAAGTAATGGCTGATAGCAATAAAACTGATGGCGATGATGTGGATGTTGTTGTTCTTGGAAATGGTACGGACAGCGAGGATGACGATCAATTCCCGAGTTTGATTACGAGATCGTCACCTGCTATATTCGTGAAGGCGGTTTTCGGCTTGTCAGATGCTCAAAGGCGCGCAGTTCGTGATATGGGTCTCGAATCTTTGTTAGATTTGACCATAACAGCCACACCATTGAAGATGGGTTTCTGGCTGGTGAACAATTTCAATCACCTGGATCGAAAGTTGCATTTATATGGTGGTGAAAAGGTGCACATTAAGGAAGAAGACGTGCATGCTGCATTAGGCTTGCCTCGTGGAGAGATCGACATTAGGAACCAGAAGAAGAGAGCTACATTAGACCTTCTTGGTGAATGGGTTAGACTGTTCAATGTGAGAATCCCGTCTAATATTACAGCGTCAAAGGTGTTGGATAAGATCCGCGAGTGTGAAGATGGCGGTGACTGGTTCAAGCGACATTTTCTCGTGCTTATGGTCTCTTGTCTGTTCGAGAGTTCTTCAAACGGGATGGCAAACTTCCGTTTAGTCCATTTGCTCGATGACCTAACCAAAGTATGCAAGATGAACTAGTGTTCATATATGATCCGATGCCTTGTGGACACTAAGAGATCGTGGGATGCTAGCGGCAAACAAAAGAAGTATACCGTTCCATTGTTATTTATGACGGTCAGTTGTTCTTAAGTCTTCCATTAATATCATTATTATTATTTATTTATTAATATATTTATATATATATATATATATATTCCATTATTATCTTTTGGCTCGTCTGATTCACTACGTATTTTATTTTGATTGTTTGACGCAGTTGTTCTACGTGGATAATGTCATCCTGTCGATGAGATCTATTGATAGGTCGTTCCCCCTGTTTGTGTCATTGACGAACGAGTCATTAAAAGCCAGGGAACATGATGAGATTGAAGCTGGAGGTTTTGGGAAGGGATTTGTTGAGGCTGACACGCACGTGGTCGTTGGCCGTCACAAATCTGACAAAGATGGTGCCACGGCAAACAATAATGAGATCAAGAGCACAATGGAACCCAGTGTACAGGCATGTGATATATCTGATGTTATGTTATTGTTTGTTATTTGATCATTCCCATTGTTGTTTTCTTATACAATATATGTTAACTTAATTTTTATTTTTATTTATTATTGTTTTTATCTTTTACCTTTCTCACACTTTTTTTTTCGCTTATATATATTGTGCTTCATTCTATGTAAAATTGTGCACCGAGATGAGATAAAATGTGTTTGATTATATAGTGTTGCGATATGGTGTTTTATGTATACGCACGGTGATTAAACGTGCATTGATTTGTTGTTTATGTTCTATTAACAGGCTTATGTTCAGGAATTTGCATCCAAAACACGTCTTCTTGCTACAATCGGAGATGAAATTTTGCAGCTGGTTAATAAGGCACCACAAGTTCTAGTCGGTGACGAGAACTGTATGAAAATACAAGGCGCGGCGGAAAAGCTTTTAGGCGTGTATACCGAAATTCCTAAATCAAATTCCGACCGTCACGATCCAAGTCAACATAATCATACTGTCCCCACGAGTGATATGGATACGGACAATGCAAATGGTGCTACCTATCAGGTACTAGACGATGCATTCTGGAACGATCCTGAAACATTGACGGCGATAGACTCGATTTTGAAGGCGGTTGAGCGACGTGATCATTTCAAGAGGATGCAGCTTGACGTTCCCAGTTTCAGCTTACGCATCTCGTCAGATGACGATGATGCAGGTGACACCCGTCATCAACATACGAGCAGGATTGGCGTGGGTTCTGTACATAATGGGATGCCTCAAACTGCTGATAAGTCAGTCAATATAGACGTGCAAATAGGTATATGATAAAATTACTGATGAGACGTCACCCAATATAGCGTTTTTTGGCTAAGCAATTTTTTTTGTGTTATATTAATATGATTCTTATCATTGTTTATGAAGATGTTGGTCAGTCTGAGCATGCTGTTGGTGAAGAAATTGGGTTGCACGACAAAGGTCGTGTAACTACCGGTATGTATGTAGTGCTCAAATATATTTAATGTATTAAAATTTTGTTCTATGCCATTTTGTTTTTGCTTATGTATATATGTATTCCTTTTTTTTCAGAAGCTGATTGTGAACTATCTCGTGGTAACAATGTAGACGTGTCTCCGAGGCCAAAGAGGCGCATCAAGGCAGCCAGTATAATTAAATCACCTTTTAAGCAGAGGACGATTGATGTGACGAAAAAGCTGGACGGGACTGAGAAGATGGTTGTTAATTGGATGCTAAAGAATGATGCTTCTGATGAGTAAGCATGGTTTAGTCTTTAATATAATTGGTTATATTTGTGTATTAAGATGGTTTAACATTTTATTGATTCACGATCTTGCGAAATGGGCAGGGGGGTGATTGCATTTCAGTCAACTGAACCAATTGAACTATATGTGAAGAAGTCAGTAGTGGCATGTCTGACTTCCGACACTCCAATTACTAAGGAATTACTCGAGTTATGGTCTTTCATACTAAACTACAACGAGAACCTTAGAAGTCGTGGTGCGCCAAAATGTTTTTTTGCATCAACTTCCCCGTGCATCGAGGTATGACACAATATCTTATGTGAATTATCTATTATTGTAAGTTGTATGAATATTATATGTTTAAGTAGATCTTATACTGTTTGATGCTATTGTGGCTCGCAGCTATTCTTTGATGGAAAACGGAAAAAAGACACAAGCTATAAAAAGTTTGCTCAGACACTAGACTCTGAAATTACACATACGTCCATTTACGCATTGAATGAAATACAATTGGTATGTTATCATTTCCCGAATCATCCTGTTGCTTTCTTTAATACTGATTGTATACATGAGTTGCCTTACATTCAATTGCCTATTTTGTTTATTTGTTGGATTTGTTCGGTGTCGTAATTCTGTAATGTTATATGTAAATTTACATATAATTGTTTTATATAATGTACACATGTGTTACAATAAAGGTTCCGTTTATGTAGTGTGATAATTAATGTCTTCCATGTTGTATCGTTCCTGCAGTTTTTATTTCCGGTGCACTCTGAGACATTTCATGGCTTAATATGCGTTGTTCCGGGATCCCAAAAGCTGATAATCATAGACAGTTCCGGATCTCGCAAAGACGGAGCTCTTATGAGATCGATTGTGCCACGATCGGAGTTGTTGGTAATTAGTATATAAATATAACATCGTTTTATGTAATTTTACGCGCTGGATATAAATTGTAGATAACTAATATCACATTTATTGCAGCAACGGTCGATGTCAAAGTTTCTAGGTGAAAGGAATTTGGCGAAATACTCCATATCAGTTGGGCTGGTTGTTCCTGATGTGTTTGACACAGCGTGGACTGAGGGCGTCAACAAGGCAGACATTGGAGTGATCACAATGCGTCACATGGAGACGTTCAAGGGTGGCATCTCGAAAACTTGGAATCCGGGACTGAAAAGCGCAGACAAGGGCCAGATCAAACTTATTAGGAAGCGCTACACATGCGTTATAGCATTTGCATCGAACAACAAGTTGAAGGACTACAATCTTGAAGAAGCACATAGGTTTCACCCAGTTCACCTTGCAAACAAAAATAAAGCAGCAACATGACGCAAAGTGGTAGATGGGAATTGCTCGTTTGTCTGAACGTCAATATGTAGATGGTTTAGTATTACGTAGGGCTAACCAAACGCATTTGGGTTATTATGTTTTGCGATGGTTTATTATGTCTGGTTGGTGTCTTTTGATGAACTTGATCGCGATGACGTAGGTGATGCTGCATGTTTTTTCGTGAATGCTTTGTGTTTTGGATGGCAGGCTAATGCACAACTAAACTGTTGAATATTCAATCATTTATGCGGTATGAACATTTTTTGTTGGTACAATATGCGGTATGAACCTCAGTTCCTCATATTGATGCGGTTCGTGCATGTTATGATGTGCATTTTCTATATATCTATCGTGCAACCTTGTACGCATTAATGTGCACATGAGTTATTATTTTTTTATTTAGTCGACTATTTATTATTTCATCGGTTGTTACGATTTCTTTGTTTCATCATATCTATTAATGTAATTATATATCCATGTCGTAGTTATTTAGACGAGATTACGGTGCATAAAGACACGGCATAATGTGCATGATACAACACACTATTGTGCAATGTGATGTATAATGTTGTGCACCCGTTATTCAATATGCAAACGTTATGCTAATTCTACATATTTGTCATTCCATTAGTTCACCTTATTTTATGAACTAGTAGAATACATCATATATATTGTCACCGTTTAATTATTTCAATGTTAATTATTTCTCAATGTGTGTGCATGGTGACTATGGTTAATGTGCAAATGTGTTAACATTATTGTGCACATATAACCTGATAATGTGTATGCGAACCTGGGTGTGAATTATATATGACACTTTATTATTGTAATCCTAAAACTCAATAATACATACACATTCCATTTGAATATTGCGCACCAGGTGTTGATACTCAAAGAAAAAAAGANAAAAAAAAAAAAAAAACCAACATACATAGCATAATACCATCATCGGTCTAAACTTGGTTTAATGAAAATATCAGTGTATCTGCAGTACATGAATATGAATAATGTTATGATCACGAAAGTATCTCAAATACATAAAGCGATGTAGCTGAAAGTAGCTGATATCCTCGCAATTGCATTCTGAATTAGTAAATCATCCGAGCATATTTGGTGTTTTGATGGTGCCTGCATGTGTAAAGTTGTAATTATCAAACATCAATAGTACGTATATACTTCTAAATCGTGTTTGTGTGCAAATAACTCATATGAATCACACGGTTACATTACACAATATTAATTTAATAAACTTGATTGCATCAAAAGAATTCCAACAGCCTGATGTTTTACACCCCATCCTACAATGGCTGTTGTATTTAAAGTGGGAAAATAATAATAATAATAATAATAATAATAATAATAATAATAATAATAATAATAATAATAAACGAATAAATAAACCATATGTGTAAACACGAGAGTTTGTATATACCTATAAATATTGTATAACTTGAGATTTGAATATGGGATGGTTGTATCCTGATAGTTAAGTGACTTAACTGTTGATATGTGAAACTTGAGTGGCGCCCGTTAAATAAACATTTAAATTGATTTGCGAAAAATTAACTCTGATCTTCGGAAAAATAAAATATCATTTTTTTTTTAAATAACGGGGCGTTACAAATGTATTATGTAAAGTAAATACTAAATCATTTACCATTTGTGATATCAGCTAATGACATCCTTTGTGAAGTTTGCAACGTATCACGAGTATTTTGACATTTATTTGGTGCACCACGCATAACCGTAGAATAATGAGACATTCTTGTAAAAAAACAAAACATTCATACAAAATTTACGTAAATTTACAAAATTGAAACAAATAAACATATTTATCTGAAATTTATATAATATACAACTGTGCATATGACTTAAAAGATATAAAACATTTTTTCTATTAAACACATACAATATATAAAATATTTATATTCATTTGATATTAATTAATTTTCTCTGTATATATGATATGTTTATTTATTTCATGAATTAAAAAATATATGTGTTAAAGTATTGTCAAATATAAAATTTGAAAATTAGATAACATAATATATGTGTTCAATATTAATGATATATAATAAGTAATATAATTGGGTTGATTTATGAAACAACTAAACATATTTATATGGACCAAAGTAGTACAATTAAATTTATAACTAAAGTCGGCCCATTACCATTGGTGTAAAGTCGAGCTTAATAATTTTTTTTCCCGTCCGAACTGGGCCCAATACATTTATAAAAAATTCGGCCCATTATCATTTGATTAAACTCGGTTCAAAGCAAACTAAATCCCGATCTGACGGCTAATATTAGTCAAACAAAATCTAACGGCCTAAATGAATAAAGCTTGATATATAACGATAAAAAACCCAATTTTTTAGGGTTAGTCATTTTTTCTCACAACTTCTTCTCACTTCTCTCTCCCACCACTTCATCTTTCTCAACCCTTCAACCGACATTTCGTTTCATTTTTTTTTTTTTTTGGTTATAGCTTTGAACGTAATCAGCTCATGATAATCGATCTATGTCGAATACGGCCTGATGCATATTTTTTTTAGTACGGATTCGAAAAAAATGATTTGGGCTTTTGCAGTTTATTATTTTTTTGTTTATCTAAAGTTTGAACGATTTGAGTTATTGTTAGTCGATTTGATAAGAATCTCAGTCGAATATGACCTGATAAATATGTATGGCACACAGGATTCGAAATCAAATTGAACGATTTGAGGTCTTTCATTTTTTAATTTTTTATTTATTTTTTTTATTCGGGATTATGGTATAAAAATATTATGAATCGGCAGTCGTTTTTCCTTTAGCTATATAGATCTACTGGAATCTGAATCGTTGTTAACAGATAATGTGAATCGACGGTCGGATTTCCAAAAGTCATAAAAAAATAATACACATCGGCATACGATTAATGGATTTTCTTCAATTTATGTATATTTTTTCATTTATTTTAGTTCACTATCATTTTTCATGAATCTTCCTGCCACACCTAGTGACTCTTTCATTATTCCATAAAATTTTATTTACTAGAAGGAAGTAGAATATTCGAGCTGGAGAGAGATAGATATCAAATCACAAATATTTGATTCTTTTAATGATATGTGTTGAAACACATCAAAAGTCTGTTAATAAATAAATGTATAGTAGAAGAGACAACTTACGGATAATCAATGATATGGTTGATTAGCTGCTGGAAACACATACATAATAATCTCATCAAATGTAAATATTAACAAAATCAAGAAAAACTTATTAAAGTTCTGATACAACGCACAACTTCAACAAATCTATAATGTATAATCTATAACTCTCTTAAAAGGATGAGTCATTTCTTGAAAATTTTGAAATGCTCATATTACTCTCTAGAGATTTACCTTTTAAGGACATAAATGAAATGTTATAACTTCATTACTATCTCATCCAACCGCATGTAAATAAAATCTGAAATGTCACTACTACTCTCAATAGAAATAATGTTACTTTGTAATTAAAATGATCTTATGGCTGTCTTATTCACCTATCTTTATAATTCTTTGTGTTATTTGTCACATTCAAAAAGTTATATTATGTCTTTAACAATTTTAATTTTAATTAGAATAATTGAAATATTAAAACACATGTATAATAATTTTTTTTTCAAATAATTTCAAATAAAACGTTTTAAATCATTAATATGATGTTTCAATCATGAATGTGATAACATAATAATCATTTTTTTTACTTATAATATTCCTTGTGTGTTTTATAAATTATTATTTTTTTTATAATATTAATGTATTGAAAAAATTAATGACTGATATCCATCAATTTTTTAAGTGAATGTATTTTCACAACTACATAACTAAGATTTTGCATGTACAAATATCAAAAAATCTAGTAATGAAAAGTCAATAAAAAAGATTAAAAAAAATAAAACATTGATCTGACCTTTTATTGAAACCATACATTTATCTATTTAACTGTTTTTTTTTTCAACGTCATGATGTATTAATATTTTTTATTCTTATTGCATTATTTTATTATTAACTCGTGGTTCTCATTGTTTTTTGTTATTTACAAAATGTTTGTAGGTTATTTTTTTAATAATTTTTTTTTTAATATGTATGTATTAAAATAATTTATGATTTGTATCCTTTTTTTATGAATGTATTGTCACAACTACATCAATAAGATTTTGCATGTTTGATCTATTTCAGTACATTATGTATACAAATAATGTTTTATCTACACAAATGTTATAAAATATTATTTTCAATGTCATAAATAACATTTTGCTTGTACAAATATTAAAATTCACGTAATGCAAAGTCAACAAAATAAATCAGCTTTTTAATCCATTGATCAGGCCTTTGATTTTTAAAACCAAACATTTATCTATTTCAGGGTTTTATTATTTTTCCAACGTCATTATGCATTAATTTTTTAATTAAATGTGAGCAAATAAGTTAGAAAAACATGGATATCAATTGTAATTTAATATTTTTTAAAACATTCTAACGGTTGAATGTTTGTTCACTATAATTTTGAAAAGCTGGTAGAATTGACCATTCACTATCATTTTCAAAAGTTGGTAAAACAAACAATTTACACCTTCTGAACTTTGGGAAGGACAACACAATTACATAACTCTTTTTTTTTTTTTTTTTTCTCTTAAACTCTTCCCTTTTTTGTTCCTCATAATTAAGATTTTGTTTTAATTCTTATCAAATTTATATCTATCTCATCCTATTATTCATCATCATCTACAAATATAAATTTATTTATTGCAAGAGTGTACATAATTGAGCATTTTGGAGCATCACCTTCTTAATTGTTGGTCATTTTCAATCATCAATTGTGCGAGATTAAGGTACGCCACTAACTTATTTGTCATCTATATGTTGTTCAAAGGAAATTGTTATTCAATAGTTACATCAAATTTTGTTACAATTGTTATTCAATATTTGTGAAATTATAATTCATTTAAGCCTTCCTAATATTGTTGTATTTTCATTTTTTTTTTATACTTTAGTTTTGTTTGCCATTTTAATTACTTATTTTTTAATCATAGTTGTTCTTCCATTATTTTATTGTAAATTTTATTTGTGAAATAGATAACAGAAAATTTATATGATACTTTAGCTACCTTTTGCTGTTTTTAAGCAGAATAAAATAAATGTTTATGATATTTTGTAATGTATTATTTAGGAATTAATATTTTATAAAATTTTATTACCGAAACACGTTTACCAATCTTTTGCTTCAGCTTTCACTGGCGAGCGCTCCTCCCAATCACCACCGGGACACCAAGCTGACAACTCTATCATGCCCAACATCACAGTGTCCCTCATGCCTATAGTTCCCCCTAAGGAGAAAGAGGATAGTCCGTTATTTACGCAGATTGGCCTGGCCATCGAGATGGAGGCTCGTTATAATTGACCTAGCATATGAATCTTATTTTTTTATTTATTTAGGCAGAAGTAAATGTATATGATATTTTTTAATTATTAGATATATAAATTACATATTTTATTAAATTCATTGCTTTTTGTTATTATTTTTAAAGTTTGTCACACAAAAAAGGGTCCACGATCTAATGCAAAAAAATAGAATTGTTTTTTTTTAGTTCCTAAAAGTTTGTTTGTTATATTTTATACTTAATATTTATAAATTATATGTATTAAAATAATTTATGATTGCTCTTCAATTTTTCAAATAAATGTATTTTACATAAAAAAATCTTTATGGGCATTACTTAAACCCAAATGAGATGAGCAGTTTATGACTTGTGCCCGCCGCGAGCCTAATTCAATAAGTATTGTGGAATTTTCATCAACAAAGCTATGTCTTACAGCATTTGTAGTAACCAGGGATGCAGTTATTTTTATTTCGTTTCAGGATCCACTAAACAAATTGAAATGTATCGACGTTCATCTATGCCAAGTACTTCTTCAGGTAAATCATATTTTATATATATTTTCTTAAAATTCCACACACTGTAATATGGAGCATATGTCTATTTGGTTATAAATAAGTGTGTGTGATAAACATATACCATATACTCTTCTTACTTTCATATTATGGCCAAAGATGTTTATCTTCAAAGAAATCTTGAAAAGATGAACATAAAATATGCCGACTTTGATTCTACGAAGAAAAAGGACTATATTGATAAATTTAGAAGTTGGAACAAGGAATCCACAAGATAAGTGGTTTTTGAGAGCTCAATTAACAATGAGAGTCCGAAGGTACTAATTATTATTTACTGAACAATACTTGATTTATTTTCATAATTACATTATTGATTAATTTTACTAGAACTCTCAGTTTTTTTAACACTATCCTTGGTTCAATGTATACGAGTCTAAATAGCCCACAAACACATGAATTGAAGAAAGTTCGAAAGTGCAGTTATTGTGATGCTGCTAGATTTCAGTACGAGCCTCCGACTTTTTGTTGTGACAATGGAAAAGTTAAACTCGCACCCATTGATGTCCCGGATGAACTTTATGAATTGTTCACTTCAGATTTTGAAGAGCCAAATGAATTTCATAAATCTATTCGCCAACTTAATAGCATTTTCTCTTTCACATCATTTGGTGTAAAGTTAGATAAAGATCTAGCTTCTGCAAGACGAGAAGTTTATACCTTCCGCGCACAAGGAATGGTTTACCATGATCTTCCAGGGCTTATACCAAATGAAAGGAGTCCTGGTTATTTTCAATTGTATTTTGTGGAGACGGAAAATTACGTGGATAACAGAATGAGGATTTTCGAAAATTCATCATTAAGTGAATCTATGGTGAAGAAAGTCATGGATATTTTAGATATCAATCCTTATGCGAAGATCTTCAGAAGTTTAAAAGATATCCCTTCGGTTGATGATATCCACCTTCATATTGCAAAAGACGTGAAACTATATCAACGTGTTTATAATTCTCCAACAGTGGATCAAGTAGCTGCGATATGTGTAGAAAGAAATAACAATGACGTTCCATTTGAGCGCGACATTATCGTCCATACGCATTCAGGATATGGACACCGAATAAAACACTACTTTGGATGTTATGACCCATTGCAATATCCTCTTCTTTTTCCAATGGTTGATTCATGGTGGCATCAAAATATCAAAAAAATACTACCTGATAGTTTTCAACTTCAAAAAGGTACGTTTTTTCTCCAAGTCCATGAATTTGCTTATAACAATGATACTTGAATTATTTAGCCTCATTATATGCATCATTTTTATAAATATTAAAATATAATACGAATGAGTTTAACTAATTCTCATTTATTGTAATGGAGTTTCCAAAATTTAACATTTCAGGCATATATCCAACGGCACAGGTTACTGATCATTTTGTTCAGCAGATGAGATTATTTCTACAGAGTAACAAGGTATGTAAAATCACATGTTACAAATGTAGTTATTCAGTATAGTTTATTTATTTAAATCTATACCTTATAAAATTACATTACTCAATTTAGTTGTGTGCAAAGAAGACGGTAAAAAGTTCTCTTGTAGGGAATACAATTGTTACATGTTGCAAATTCGCTCTCCAAGGCATTCTATATAGCTTTATGCGGGGAGATTATTACATCAGTATGCAGTTGACATGTACATAAAATTGGAGACAACAAGGTTAGACTACTATCAACAAAAGCACTACAAAAAAAAAAAAATTGTTATATTCCAACCGAAAATCCTACGATAATATATTACAATGAAAATTCCAACGGATATTCCAATAGCATAACTTCCATTGGAATGATTCTAACGGGTATTCCAATAGCATAGTTCTTGGGTCAAATTTATAATTAAGCAAACTATCAATATTGTTTATTTAATATTTGAAACAGATAATATATTGCCCAAAACTATAACAAAAATGATAATAATATTTTTTTAATCTAAATAATATAGATGACTTATTATATATATTATAAAAACTAGAAAAGAACCCGCCGCGCAAAGCACAGCAAGGCCCGCGGTTATGTCTGGTAAATATGAGGAATAAAATAAATTAATGAGTCTTGAATGATAAAATATAATGATGTCTTCATAAACACTAGTAATTCAATATCTAAGAGCAATTACACCAAGCAATGACGTAATTAAAGTTATTAGTGACTGCACAAGTCCAACTCTCCATACAGCTATTAAACAAGAATGAGCAGGTCATGAGCTAAGCTAGGTTTGGCTCATATTCGGCAAAGTGAATAATAACTATTTTTTTTTTTAATATATATGATATGTCATAATAAAAGATCTTCGAAAACCAACAATTCATAACACAACTGTCAATGCAATGTCAATACAAATACATAAAGAGCTCCACATTCTTGTTCCATCCATATTTGAATAATTACTAATTTTTGGGATCATAGAAGCTCAAGAACTCATCCAGATTGCAGGGAAAATATTCAGGTGCACCAAACACAAACAAAACATTTGAGTACCAAAAAATTACTACGAATAGGTGAAAGGGCCTCATTGAGAAGATGAGGAAACACATTCCAGTCGACATCGTACATTCATTTCTATTTCCTTTCGATGAAGGTTGTATATGTAAACACGCACTACATATACCTCAGATGCCCGTTTTCAGCATCTTTATGAACTAAAACATCGAAGTCGCAAACAGCCCATTCGGCCCCCGGCTGGGCACACGTAAATTTCTGTACCGACATCAAGTGATAACCATACTCGTGCTGTTGGTTTTGTTCTCGGATCCTGCATAAGAATTTCGAAAACGATTACATTACCTCATAAAGTTCATTATTTACATTATTAATCATTTTGGATCGAAAAAAACTTTCTCCCAAATTGCTAGCAATCACTCCCTTAATAGTAATACTTGAGTCATTCTTTTTCTTGACTTCCTTTTCTCAATCAAAGATTTCTTATCTGATAGAAATACAACCGACTTGAAAGGGCCCCAGTATCGAGTTCCCAGGTTCTCGAGTCACCAACCCACCCTTCTCTTTAAATATATAATCCTCCAAACTCCACATTTATTACCGTTTATTTTCTGCAACAATTTTTTATATGTGATCTCTCACCTGGAAAAAAAAAAATGCATTAGGACAATAAATCTCCAATTTTCCATTTCAAGGGAAGAAGAAGCTCGTGAGCAAACTTTAAGAATGTTGTTGTATCTTTGGGTGATGAAATCTTCTAACCAACAAATACAAAACCAAAACACATAGACTATTACAGTTCATTAATTCACTACTAAAGAGAAAATGAAAGAAACAGAGGACTAAGAATGTATTTGCAAGATGTTAGAAAAATAAATATTAAATAAATAATATGAAAATTGAGTAGAACATACCTAGAATTCTCAGGTCATACAATTTGAAATGGCGATGAACAACAACAAATAAAATGACATTGAACAACTGTAAAAGACGTACCAAAATACACATTACATCCAATCAGATAAACGCAATCACCAAAAAAAAAATATTTCAATTCTTTTAATTGTAAATTTGGTCTGCAAAAAAGTGAAAGAAAAATAATTAATCATTATATGTACAGACTCACAATAATTTATTTATATCTGTGCAAATGCATAGGTCGAATACTAGTTTGAGTTATACTTATCCTATTACATTAAAATTAAGGAAGGCCAATCAAAAAGAGACAAGTGTCCCATTCCTTATCAAATCCCAACAATAATTGAATTTATTCTTTTTATTAAATAAGAGACTTTAGATATATTCAATATTTTAATATTTATATTTAATATGTATACTACTTTTGATGTAAAAGACATAGTATTTAAAGTATTGAATCTATATTGTGCAATACCACATACAATAATGTGCATTCGTCTAATAATATGGTGCAGTTCATCGATCGAATATTTATTTGTTTGCATTTTAATTTCAAAAAATCTAGTAATGAGTATTTTAATTAACATTATATTGTAATTATAAATTTATGTATTTAATAAAAATATATTAGTATTTATAATTTCTATTTAAGATTAAATATTATTTATATTATAAAACATATATTAGTATTTTTATATTATTTTTTGTTGAAAATGCATAATATATGAGACATCGGAATCCATAATGTGCATTATCACATATAATAATATGCATTTTAGTGTAAGCTTATTGTGCAATTTATGGAGTGGGATATTTTTTTTATGCGCCTATCGGTTTTGAGAAATCCTTAAAGTGCAATCAGACGAACATTAAAGTGCAATTTGTATAACAATATTGTGCATGGTTTCGTCTGTCCAATTGGGCAGTTCACTAGTTTGAACAGAGCAAACTTTGTCCCAACCAAATTGAAACTGAACACTAATGTGCATTTCATTTTTTTTATTTTTTTTTTGAAAAAAAAATGTGTATTTTTAATTAACATTATTGTTCATTTATCAAATTATTTATATAATAAAAATATATTTAGTAATTATATTTTTTTATTTAATACTTTATATTATTGCTTTTTTAAATAAATAATATATATACAAGTATAATACACAAATAATACTTTTTTATATAATTTAATCAGTTATGTTACTTTGTTTTTTATTTTATTTTATTTTTGTAAAATCGAAACTGCACTGAAATGATTGAAAATTTAATATTTACGAAAATGCACACTAATTTGCTAATGTGCGTTCTCAGACGCATTAATGTGCATTAGTTCTAAAATTATTGTTCAATCCTATATTCACTAAAGTGCATTCTGCAGTGAGAGTTTTTTTCATGTGTAAATTCAACCTAAAATCGAAGCGAAATAATTAGCATAGATTGGTTAATTGAATTAACCTAAATAATTGAAATAATTTATTATTTATATTATAAATTTTTATTTATTATTTTAATATTTTGTATTATAAAAACATTTGTCCCACACTAAATTGGATCCGAACCGAAGTACTTGGTGTATTCGCTCGGTTAACCAAATCAACTAAAATAACCAATAACATATTATTTCTAGTATAAAAACATTGTTAGTTATTTTAATATTTTTTATTTAACCTTTTGTTTCTCCTTTTTTTATTGGAAAGAAAATATTATTTTTTTATGTTATAAATATAAAAAATAGTATTTTTTATATAGTTCAGTCGGTTTGGTTATTTCGGTTATTTAAAAATATAAAGTCGACATGGAGCCGAAATTTTAAATGTAAAATAAATATCAGTGCCAGACATAAATTTTTAATTGAAAATTGTAGTTTGGTCGATTTCGGTTGCTAATGTGCAATATGATAATCATTAATGTGCAAGTCGTATAGCACAATTGTGCAATTTGACAATCATTAATTTGCATCTTGTTTAATATTGTTGGTCATTCAGCAGTACGGAGTTTTCTTTTCCGCATATTTAATTTAAAAACGAAACGAAATAATTGAGTCATTATGTTGGTTAATCAAATTAACCTAAATAATCAAACTATTTATTTATTTTTCCGAATGAAAATGTGAAGGGGAAGATATAAATTTAGAGGTAGACATTGCCTAAAAAATAAATGCAGGAAGTACAAATAAATACCACATAATATAAGATACGACCTCATCCGGAAGAAGAAGAAGAAGAAGAAGAAGAAGAAGAAGAAGAAGAAGAGGAGGAGGAGGACGAGGGACTAGGAAACCCTATCACCCAAAATCCAAATCGAGAACGGCCACCGGCCACTCACGGTTCTCTGGCTCTTCAAATCGGCTAGCCCTCGCCCCGCTATAATCCTGACGTCCCTCTGCTACTCTCTAGTTCAGGTATTGATGGCTAAATCTTTGACTATTTGAATGTTTTTTCTTTACCTGGGTTAGAATTGAGAAAGAGTTTGCAAAACACTGACTAATTGATTTAACGTAGGAGTCAGAAAGAAGTTGAGAAAGTTTATTTATTATTTGAAAGGGGGATCTGCTGCTGTTGGTTGTTGGAAATGGCAGATATGGGAATCACCGAAGCGTGATTCCATTCTTGTTAGATCGAGAATGATAAAGGTCAGCCCCACGCTCCCTGCAACGACAATTTGATGTTTGTGGTGCAGCACGTCATCTATGGGGCACCATTGGGTGGCTGGGTGCTGCAGCAGGATGTCAAGGCAACCCTGGATTGCTTAGTAATCTCAACCAAAAACAACTCGTTCAAAGTGCTGCAAGATGATGATGATGATGATGTTCATTTTCCAAACTTATCTCGGCTCAAAGCTGAAAACTACAGTCCCATGCTTATGAATGCTAATTATGAAGTTCGAGCGACTTGCGACTCATGGATGCTGTTGACATGTACGAAACGACCTGACTATACATGGGACCTCCTCTGGGACCCCACAACCGACGAGATAAAAGCCCTTCCGTATTTTTCTTTGGCTTCTCCTCGTTTAACGGATATTTGGGCATACGGCTTTGGGTTTGATCCTTCAGGGGGCGGCTATAAGGTGGTCAGATGTCGCTCCTCCAGAGACTATGACTATGACTATGACTATGACGATGACGATGACGATGACGATGACGATGACGATGTTACTCAGAAAGCTAAGATCTACGTTGAGCTGTTGTCGCTCGCAAGTGGTTCGTGGAGGGAAATTGCGTATCCTCATAGTCCCTATGATAAACCTATGCAACGACCATCTCTTCACATCAATGGAGTTTATTATTGGTCAGCTAGTCCTACTGGAATTATTTCCTTTGACTTTGCTAAGGAGGAGTTTACCCCTGCTATAATCCCTATGCCCAAGAGGGGTAAGCTCATACTGAGCGGTAATGTTCTTGCTGAGGTAGATGGGTCGCTTGCTGTAATTATTTTCAACCATGGTGAAAAGCCTTTTAATTTCGAGCTTTGGGTGTGGAAGGACCAGGAATGGTCTAAACTGTCCTCAGGGGATGTCCCGGCTGCAGCCCATGCGCATTCTGTAAGGGGCCTCTACAATAAACGTAAACTGCTTCTTTGGAGCTCCTGTGGTGACCTACTGCTTTACGACATTGATAGTACTGAATACAAGCCACTCGGTATCCATGCTGAGTCGTTGGGTCTGAATGTCATCCCATATGTTGCCAACGCCGACTCCAAATTAAAATCCTCGATGATAAATCTCTCGTCTGGTGCCAGTAACGTCGTTGCTAGTGCTATTCAGCGGCCACTTAGCCGCAACTTGAACCGTAACAACAACAACAATAATCTTATGCTTATGGTGCAGTGTCTACTCAAGTGGACCCGCAATTACTTTGTATTGTCAATGGAAAACAACATGTTCAAAGTGGTACAAGATGAGAAGAGTCTTCCTAACTTGTCTCTACTCAAAGTAGAGCAAAACTACGATCCCCTTTGTCTGTATGCCAAGTATCACGTTCTAGCGAGTTGCTACACTTGGATGCTGTGGATGTGTACCCAAAATCCGGGAAGTCCGCTGGAGCTTCTGTGGGACCCCAGGACCGACGTGCTCGTAACCCTTCCCTTTTTTGAGGCTGTGCCGCGCGTTCCTTGCCCAATTATCACGTCCATGTATTGTCACGGTATCGGGTTTGTATCAGGAGAATATAAGGTGGTCAGATGTCGCGTGTTCAAGCATTTCCGTTGCGAAAACGAAGCTCACGCGGAGCTGTTCTCGCTCGAAACTTGTTCGTGGAAGCAAATTCCTTTTCCCCATGATCCCCAGCTCGAAGCCATGCAACATCCTTCGCTCCACATTCACATCAATGGCTTTTATTATTGGCTAGCAGTGGATCCCACCAAGACGGAGGAGGATCTTTGTGTTATTTCATTCGACTTTGCTAATGAGGAGTTTCCTCGTGATCTCATGCGTATGCCGGAGAGCAAAATTGTCCCCAATCTTAATCTTGACTGTGTTTCTCTTGCCGAGTTTCATGGGTTGCTGGCTGTTACTGTTTCTGATTGTCATGGGCAGAAGAAGCAAAGTACTGAGCAGGAAAAGAAGAGGAAGAACCCTAGTGAAGCATCTCCTTTTATTTTTGAGATTTGGGTATGGAGTGACGGCATCTGGTCCCATAAATCCACATACGAAGTCACTCCTCCTCATTCTCATGCTGGTGTTGTTTATACGAGGGTCGTCGGCCTGTACAAGGATTATGATAAAGCATTTCTTCTGGACTCGCAGGGTTACCTATGGCTTTATGATCTTGTGAAGCGTGAGTTGGAGCCTACCGCCATCTGTGATGATAGTTTTTGTCTGGCAGTCTACCCTTATGTGTGAAAGTGAATGAGAGTCTGTCTGTTTTGTTTCTAGCAGGAGCAGCACACCACATTAGGAAAGTGTTGTCTCTTATAATGCCCCCATCCTTTTGCTAATATCTTATTTTCATGAACTGGGAACTCAAGACAGTGTTTGATTGATGGACGCACCTTTGTTTCTTTACATTGTATGCTCCATTTTCATTTCAGTCCCTTCTTTCTATTTTGAAATCTTTTGTAAATGATATGTTGAATTCACCATTTTCCGGGCAACTCCCGTGGCGTTGATGTTTCGTAAAGCCCGTGTTAGTTAGTGCAATATAGAAAATGGCGCTTTCATGTGGATATTAACTGAATGCATTAAGTTTCGAATCATTTATTTAATTAAAAAAAAAAATAATAATACGTGGACAAAAATAAAACAAAAGAAAAGCTGTCTGGAAAAAAATAAATAGCCAGATTCTCAAAATTCGTGTTTCAAATCCTTGAAACACGAATTTTGAGAATCCGTTTTTATTTATTTTTTATTTTTTTTTGTTAAATAAATGATCGAGATTGTGCTAATTCGACTTCAATTGGACTAATTCGAGTTCAATTACACTATAATTGACCGAGATTGTACTAATTTGACTTCAATTGGACTAATTCGAGGTCGTTTACAATATAATTGACCGAGATTGTACTAATATGCCTTCATTTGAACTAATTCGAGGTCGATTACATTATAATTGACCGACATTGTACTAATTTGACTTCAATTGGAGTAATTCGAGGTTGATTAAGACATGGAGGATGAAGGGGCTAAGGTCAATCTGGTGGAGATTCCAATAGGGGAGGGAATTGTTAAAGAGTCTGGGAATGGTAACAAGCAGAGGTCTTTTGTTAAGGTCAAGAGGAAAATGCATGTGGATTCCATTGGAAACCAAAATGGGGGTAACCTTGGTCCTCATGGAGAGGCTAAGGAAGCCACAGGGTCTAAGAGGAAGTCTGAGGATAGACTTCTTGATTGTCCAATTATAATTGCTCCTGATTCAAAAAAATTGAAATTTTCTTTCTCTGATTTGGAAAAGCAGGTGGAGGAGACCAGCCAAAAGTGGTCCCCCAAGTCCAAATGAGGGCTATGGTGTGGAATTGTAGAGGATTGGGATGACCCTCTACAATTCCCCAGTTGAAGGCTAAGATTAGAGCCTATCTCCCAGATTTTATGTTTATTTCTGAGATAAAAAAGAAAAAAGCTTTTGTTAAAAATGTGTGTAAGTATCTTTATGTAGATGATAGGTGGGATTTTGCTGATCCTATGAGATCTAAGGGGGGTCTTTTGCTTGGTTGGTCTAAGAAGATTAATATTTTGCAAATTTTCAGATCCTATTTTTGTTTTGAAGTGTGCTTTCAGTTTGAAGGGGATGGGGAGATTTTGTGGGTTGTGTTCATTTATTCTAGTACTGATAGTACTGAGAGATAGAACCAGTGGGATTATATTTCCAGTAATAGGCTTAAAAGGGCTAAGTGGTGGTTCTTAGCTGGGGATTTTAATGACATTTTGTGCAATGAGGATACGTATGGGGGTGTCAAGAGAGGGGAAGCTAGTTTTGCTAAATTTAGGTCTTTTGTGAGTAATATGGGGATGTTAGAGTGTCAGAGTAAGGGCTATTACTTTACATGGTCCAACAACAGGAGAGATGATGAGTTTATTGAGGAGAGACTTGATAGAATCTTCTTATCCCCAGATTGGCTTCTTAAGTTTCCTGTGCCCTAGTCTTGCATATTCATGTGATTATATCAGATCATTGTATGCTGATTCTTGAAAATTCTGAAAGGAAAGTAGAAGGAAAGAAAAGATTTTTGTTTGATAAAAGGTGGACCAGGATGGAGGGTTTCAAGGAGTGTGTACAAACAGCATGGGCAGATAGGGTAAATGGAAAAGGGTTGTTCAATTTCCAAAACAGACTAAGGAAAGTGAAGTGTGGGTTACTGAATTGGGCCAAATTACAAAGGACAAACTCATCCATTAAAATCCAAGGATATAATGAAAGGCTGGAAGTTTTGGGAGCCCAAGGGAGAGGAAGAGACTGGGATGAGTGGTTCAAATGCAAAAAAGCTTTGCATCTGGCCTATTGGGAAGAAGAAACTTTTTGGAAGCAAAAGTCCAGAGTAGTTTGGCTGAGGGAAGGAGATAAGAACACTAGGTTCTTTCAAGTCTGTGTTAAGCAGAGGAGACAGTTGAACAGTCTGGACAATTTGACTAAAGCCAGTGGTGAAGGGTGTAAGGGCAGAGAAGACTCATTAAAGGAAGTGATGGAATACTTTGATAATCTGTTCACATCTGAAGTTGTTGGGTTTAGTAGTGATATTTTGAAAGGGATACCTCAATCCATATCCTCTAATCAAAACCAGAATTTGTGCAAACCTGTAGGGGAGTGTGAAATTAAGCAGACCTTATTTGAGATGGACCCTGACAAAGCTCCAGATTTGGATGGATTTTCCCCTTTGTTTTTTCAATTTTCTTAGTCTATTATTAAGCCTGAGTTGTGTTCAACTATACTTAACTTTTTTTCTTCTGGGTTTATTCTAAAAGCCACAAATCACACTGTTATTACTCTCATCCCCAAAATTAAAAATCCTAGGAAGGTGGTGGATTTTAGGCCCATTAGCCTATGTTCTGTTATTTATAGAGTCATCGCTAAAATCATGGCTAATAGGCATAAGGCTGTTCTGAATGATTGTATATCCCCTTTTCAGCCTGATTTCATTCCTGATAGGCAAATTCTAGACAATGTCATTATTGCTAATGAGTGTATTCATTACCTCAATAGTAAAAGGCAGGGGAGGAAATGTTTTATGGCTTTAAAGTTGGATATGGCAAAAGCCTATGATAGGGTAAATGGGGCTTTTTGATTAGTGTTTGTAGAGCTATGGGTTTTTTTGAAAAATTTCTGAGGTGGGTGTGGGTTTGTATTAGTTCTTCTTCCTTTTCTTTTAATTTTAGTGGTCAGGCTATTGGTAATGTTAAGCCTTCTAGAGGATTAAGGCAAGGGGAACCTTTGTCACTCTATCTTTTTGTTATTTTATCAGAGGCATTGTCTAATCTTATCAAACAGGCCTGCAATTTTCAAGGTTTCAAAGGAGTTAGAATCAGTAAGCACTCTCATGTGGTGTCTCATCTATTTTTTGCTGATGATTCTCTTCTTTTCTGCCAAGCTGATTCTGTTCATGCTAATATTTTGCTTAATATCTTGAAATCTTATTGCTCTGCATCTGGCCAGGCAGTGAATATGGCTAAATCCAATATCTTTTTCTCTGTTAATACTCCTGTGCATGTTCAAAGAGCTATCTGTCAGTTTTTTTTTTCTGGTATTGGAATTGTGAAATCCCCTAGATATCTGGGTCTCCCATTGGGGATGGGAGAAAAAAAAAAAGATACCTTTAAATTTGTGACTGGGTGTGTTGTGTCCAAGATTTCTAGCTGAAAAAATAGGTTTCTGAGTGAAGCAGGGAAAGATGTTTTAATTAAAACAGTTCTTAGTGCTTTGCCTATTTATGTGATTTCAGTTTTCAAGATTCCTGTGGGGGTGTGTAGTGAGATTTGTAAGGTTATTGCTGATTTCTAGTGGGGTCAAAATGAGGAGGGGAAGAATAGGAATAATTGGGCTAGATGGGGTAGGTTAACTAGGGATAAGGGGGATGGAGGGCTGGGTTTTAAGGATTTTGGGATGGTTAATGGAGCTTTAATTCTAAAGCAATTGTGGAGGATGTTGACAAAGCCTAATTTATTGATGAGTAGAGTGTTAAAAGGAAAATATTTCAATAAGCAGAATCTTATGGAAGTGTCAAAGAGAAGTAGTGATTCATGGTTGTGGAAGAGCTGGTTAGGGGTTAGGCATCTGTTGAAGCTAGGGATGAGGTACCAGGTGGGTAACGGGATAGCTGTGAGTATTTGGGACTCTCCATGGGTTCCTCATTGCCCAAATTTCAAACCTTTTTGTGTGTTGCAGGAAGATAAGGATAATCTGTGTACTGTATCTGACTTGCTGTTACCAGGGGGCAAAGGTTGGAATGAAGAGCTCATCAAACAAACCTTTACTCCAATGTATGCAGCTAATATTCTGAAAATTGAAGTCAGTTATTGGGGTACAAAGGATAAATTGGTGTGGGATGCTGATAAGAAAGGGAAGTTCTCTGTGAAGAGTGCTTACAGACTTATTGTGAACCATAGAAAGTAGATGGAAGCAAATCCAGAGTCAAGCAGCTGCCAAGAAAGAAATCAGATCATGTGGAACAAATTATGGAAGCTACCAATTAAGGGCAAGATCAAGACATTTCTCTGGAGGAGCTGGCATGATTTCTTGAGAACAAAGTCAAGACTGAAGGTGAAAGGTATGGATTTTTAGTTCCACCGACTCGTGCCTAGAATGATTTCTTTTCATGGTTTGGAGCAAGTCGGTCTGTCTTTCGGGCCGCGGCGATATTGGTCGCAGAACCACAGGATGCTGTTGATAATGGCGAGAATGGCTTTCAACTGTAATTTCCGGCAGATTAGCTTCTAGTTGATTCACCACCGGCGGATTGTTGATAACTTGAGGATTGCCATGAACTGGGGCAGCGACTTCTCCTCTTTGCTGCGACTCATCGCATGGCCGCGAAGTTGCATGGGAAGTGACAACATGTGCATGGCGTCCCTGTTCCGGCGGTGTTGGTGATCTTGCAGGAAAAACATGTATTGTGGGTCGACCGAGAGTAGGAACTGAAGGTCCTGGCATTGTTTGAGCCATTAGAGCAGAGAAACCCCTCACAAACTCTGGGTTTTGAAATAGAGTTGTGAAATCAGGTATAGCAGGTGGTGGAGCAACTCTTCCAGCAGTCTGGGCAACTCTGCTATGACCCGTTTCTTGAGTCTGTCCTTGTTGCTCAAAGTGAGACATGATAATTGGGTGATGAAAACTAAACGTGAACTTGATGAGAGATGTATGGCTTGCTTGTGGAATAGATGAGAGGTATATGGCTTGCTTATGGAATATCGAAGAT